CCTAAACTCTAAACCGGCCTAAACCCTAAACCCAAGAAGACTCCCCGCTTCTCAGGAGCGTTCTCTCAAGGACTTGGGTCTCGGCTATCGCGCCGCCCAAGCCCCGGTCGATCCGACTTGAGGGTTAAATATAGAGGCCTCAATAATTACCTATACTATCTTGGGCGGGGCACCTTATTATGTCTATAGTACAATGGGCCCCGAAACCCTATTCTAATTATTAAGGCACCTATGTTAGGGCTTTGGGTTCGGGTTTTCATTGTTCCCGAAGTCAGGGTCCCTCGGCATCTAGGGTTAGTTCTGAGGGCTTATTTAGGGTTTATGGTTTAAGCCTTCAGGGGTTGTCTGGCGTTTAGGATTTAGGTCTTCAGGGACGGCTTCGGGTTAGCATCCTCGTAGCACAAGTTTGTAGATCGTGCGTAGGATTTGTCAAGAATTCAGCTGCATGTTCTGGGAAACCATGCCTGCAGCCCTGATTCCTCAGCTTTGGTGAAATATCTCCTCCACACGCAAACAAGCAAGCTACAGGTCGTTACAAACCTAACGCGGCTCAACCGTGTGGCTTCAAACCATCCGTTGGCTTCAAGGCCTACATCAGCCAAGCTGCCCGACGGCTTATGGAAGAGGCTCTTGGCTGTGACGTGGGTGTGAGGCTGTGCAGTTCCCAGTACCAGGTTTATATGGAGTACAGTTTGGGGTTTAGGGTTATGGAGTTCATCCAAGTCCTGACCGTCTTTCGAGCAGTTTTCTGTCTAGGGCCTGACTCACTCCGTTGCTGATATGCAGCTTTGGCGAGCTGTGAACATTTTCATCGAACAACAACGCCCTTTCCCTTCCAGTAGCCTGCAATTAGGTCTTTTTTCTCAGCTCCACGAATCCAACCCGTCCTTGATATGCGCAGACAACCCGTGCAATGCGGACATCTGAAAGGTCTGGATGCTTCAGTCCACCTCAGATTCTAAGATAAACTAGGCTAGGTTTCTGGCAGTTTATGCATTACCGCATTACTTGGCAAACTGATGCACCCACAATAATTGCGAGAGCTCATTGACAGGACGGCCGAATGCTGCAGTGGCTGCAAAGCTTAAGGCGGAGCGCGGAAATATGGTTGTTGCTGAAGCAAAGGTTGTCATTGAAAGTCCTTATCACAAATGAGCAGGATTACTCTGTACGATTGTGGCTATTAGTTGCCATTTGAAGCCTGATTTGTCGCCTACTAAGTGGCGCCGCTTGCAATCGCCGTGAGGCCCCAAGCAGTTTCCATATATTGTTCTACAGTATATCACCGTGCTCGCAGCTTCACCAAACCTTGCCTTCATCGGTGTTACTTTCAAACCACCAGTATTTGGTGCACATTGGGCTCTGTTGATGCTGTTGCTGTCATTGCGATGACCATGGGGGGGATGCTAGGGTTTTTCTTTGTAAGCTTCTCCAATTCGGGGGCCTCTTCGGCGGGGTTGGACCTTTGGGCTGCAGGCTCCATGCCTGGGTCGTGTCAGGGTGGTACGGTCCAATTCTGCTGCTCCAGCGAAGATCCTGTCATGGAGCTCCCTAGGCCCAAAACCTTAGCCCTAAACCACTAAACCTGAACGGCCCTAAACCCCAAAACCTAAACCACTAAACCTGAACGGCCCTAAACCCTAAAGCCTAAACCACTAAACTCTTAACCCTGAACCGGTTTAGGGTTTAGGGACACAGCCAAGGGCATCCCTCTAATCGGGCCCTCGCGTCCACGCCCCGGATCTGCCATGGACTAATGTAGGGGCCTTAATAATCACCTACAATGTGTATATATATATATATGTATGTTTTGTTTTTGGGGTGTCCTTATTACAGATATAGTATAATATACCCCAAAACCTTATCTAATTATTGGGGCCTCTATATTATTCTCATGTTGCTTGTGTTGCAGACCTTCGGATTTGCAGCTTAGAAGAAGGCTTATATATATTATGATATATAAAATCAAACCATATTCTTATACAGTGTAATGCAGCTTGCCATAACATAATATCGATGATCTGACTATGTATTTTGTAATTTGCACATCGACAACGGGCTTGATTTTGTCGTTGTGTGTGTGTGTGTGTGTGTGTTTGTGTGTGTGTGTGTGTGTTTGTGTGTGTGTGTGTGTGTTTGTCTGTGTGTGGGTGTGTGTTTGCCTGTGTGTGTGTGTGTTTGTGTGTTTGTGTGTGTGTGTGTGTGTGTTCGTGTGTGTGTGTGTTTGTGTGTGTGTGTGTGTGTGTGTGTGTGTTTGTGTTTGTGTTTGTGTTTGTGTTTGTGTTTGTGTT